GTTTTATTATGTTTCCATTTTACTGCAATTTGTTTTGAGCCATGTTCTCAACTCGCCATTCAACATTTGTGGCAGAATAAACAGTCATCTGAAAATATATCCAGAACACACATACACACACATACATTTGAGGCCTCAACTCTCTGCTGCAACATGGCATACAAAACACATAGGCCTTTTGGTCTTAACAAATTGGCAGAATGCCAGTCCCACCAAAAAAGAAAAAAAAACATCTCTCTGATGTTGCAACAATTGCCCGGATGTTATTGTTGGCCGGGCCCATACATTGCACCCTGTTGCAAAACTCATACCGGAGAAGGATGCAACTAATACTGTTGGAGTTGTCGGAGCCGCTGCCATTGGCATCAACGTCGCGGCTACAAAATGAAAGACCTCCAACTACAAAAAAGCGAAATCAATGTTGCAGCTTTGAAGACGGATCCTTCCAGGGATTTGAAAAAATATATTCATGAAATAAAATTGAATACACCTAAAGAAATTACTGAATCAATCTATTTAAACCCACCAAAAAAAAAAAAAAAAAATCCACGCCTATGGATAGTAGCCGAAAAATAATGTTTAAATATTCCACACCTATGGATAGTATCTTGAAGAGTTTAGTGTGAGTACCTGCCTATTGGCCTAACTCACAGTGGCTGAACCACAGGTGGAAATGCGCCCACCAGCGCACCAACACCGAAATGCTGTACCAATCGGAGAGCATGCAGAAGGCACACTCTGCCCCTTGGTGAGGGGCGAAACCACAACCCCCGCGAAGCTCCCCACTGGGCCACACCAACTGTCAGGCTGGACCGACAGATCCAGGGGCACCTGACTACCGCGGTACTGAAAACCTCCGCTCTCCCAGTTCGACACAAGTCCGGGCTGGTATCCCAAAACAAAATATACGAAAGAATCAAAAACCGCAAGCGGCAAGGAAAAAACCTTGCCCCAGGCAGTGGCGACGTCGAACAAATACACACAACACAAACAATGGAACAACTCTAGTTTAGTAAAAACGACCCGATTTTTTTGAAATTTTTTCCAGAGGTAGGTATTTTGACCCTAATTATGGGAATTTTTTTTCTTGGGGGACGTACCCGGTTACCCGGTTATTTGACCCGAAAGTTCGGGTCCGGGTACCCGGTTATACCCGGTTCCACGGATCCGATTAATACAAAATGGGTATCAGTTTGGAGTCACAGCAAAAAACTGGATTTTGGACCCATATTTTTATGAAAAACTCCCTAAAAGTCGAACTTGGTTCCATTATGGTCCCTCTTGATAGACTGCAATGTGATCTTTCCAAAATGGTACGGCATGTGGCTGTATCTATTGTGGATCAAAAAAATGGGCCTTAGAACCCTTCAAACCGACTATGTCAAATTCATGTTTAGTATTAACATGAATGTCTTATATGCAAATGCAAAGATATGAGATATGACAGGTACCAACACCGGATACCCGACAGAATCTCCTTTTATATAGAATTGTTTTCTGGGTAGCCGGCCTTCGGCCGGGGATTTAAGACATTCTCCTATAGACAGATACCAACACCGGCTACGCGACAGAATCTCCTTTTATATAGAATATTTTTTTGGGTAGCCGGCCTTCGGCCGGGGATTTAAGACTTTCTCCTATGGACAGGTACCAACACCGTCTACGCGACAGAATCTCCTTTTATATAGAAAAGTTTTCTGGGTAGCCGGCCTTCGGCCGGAGATTTAAACCTTTCTCCTATGGACAGGTACCAACACCGGCTACGCGACAGAGTCTCCTTTCATATAGAATAGTTTTCTGGGTAGCCGGCCTTCGGCCGGGGATTTAAGGCTTTCTCCTATGGACAGGTACCAACACCGGCTACGCGACAGAATCTCCTTTTATATAGAATAGTTTCCTGGGTAGCCGGCCTTCGGCCGGGGATTTAAGACTTTCTCCTATGGACAGATACCAACACCGGCTACGCGACAGAATCGCCTTTTATATAGAATAATTTTCTGGGTAGCGGGCCTTCGGCCGAGGATTTAAGACTTTCTCCTATGGACAGGTACCAACACCGGCTACGCGACAGAATCTCCTTTTATATAGAATAGTTTTCTGGGTAGCCGGCCTTCGGCCGGGGATTTAAGACTTTCTCCTATGGACAGATACCAACACCGGCTATGCGACAGAATCTCCTTTTATATAGAATAGTTTTTTGGGTAGACGGCCTTCGGCAGGGGATTTAAGATTTTCTCCTATGGACAGGTACCAACACCGGCTACGCGACAGAATCTCCTTTTATATAGAATAGTTTTCTGGGTAGCCGGCCTTCGGCCGGGGATTTAAAACATTCTCCTATGGACAGATACCAACACCGGCAACGCGACAGAATCTCCTTTTATATAGAATATTTTTTTGGGTATTAAAACTTTCTCCTATGGACAGGTACCAACACCGGCTACGCGACAGAATCTCCTTTTATATAGAAAAGTTTTCTGGGTAGCCGGCCTTCGGACGAAGATTTAAGCCTTTCTCCTATGAACAGGTACCAACACCGGCTACGCGACAGAGTCTCCTTTTATATAGAATAGTATTCTGGGTAGCCGGCCTTCGGCCGGGGATTTAAGACTTTCTCCTATGGACAGATACCAACACCGGCTACGCGACAGAATCGCCTTTTATATAGAATAGTTTTCTGGGTAGCCGGCCTTCGGCCGGGGATTTAAGACTTTCTCCTATGGACAGATACCAACACCGGCTACGCGACAGAATCTCCTTTTATAAAGAATAGTTTTTTGGGTAGCCGGCCTTCGGCCGGGGATTTAAGACTTTCTCCTATGGACAGGTACCAACACCGGCTACGCGACAGAATTTTCTTGTTTTTGTAGGGTTCTAATAATAATAAGTGATCCACAGCAGATACAGCCACATATCACACCATTTTGGAAAGGGCAAATTGTGGTCTATCATTTGAGTCGGTTGTGGAGAGGGACTATAATGGACCCAAGTTCGACTTTTAGGGAGTTTTTCAAAAAAATAGGGGTCCAAAACGGTTTGTGTTTTGTCCCGGTGCACCATCACCCACCGCCACCCGGTGCACCAACCCACCACCACCCGGTGCAACCGACCGAGCCCACTTGCAAGGGGGCTAAGCACGAGGACCCCCTCAGTGCTGTCCTTCTCCTAAATGCTTCACGAGCAAAACTACTTAAACAACTAAAGGTCCGATCATCTTCAAGAGCCCTACTGAAGTCCCACCCCGCTCCTCCATTCGATATATCAATACTTGCGAAATCTCTAATGTCACCATAGTAACAGCTTTCCGTCAGTATATGCTTTCAGTCCTCAGTCATCCCACATCCACATAAATCCGTCCTGGAGAACCATGCCCCGTCAGTAAGAAACCAGTACTTAAGCCGAAGCGAAAGTCTGGCCGGTTCACTACGAACGTTGCGTCACGAATAAATTCGAACGTCACCCACACTTTATCATTGTTCGTCCACCTTTTCCTCCACCTATCAACAACACACTCCCGAAGGGTAGTGCTGTACCGCCTACTCTCCCCATCCATCAGATCAGAGGGCTTGAGCCAATCATCTTCATCCAACTACAAGCCACGCTTAAGCTTATACATGATAGCCCTACATCTCACTTCAAGATCAAGCGGCGCGGCGCCAAGCAGCACTTGCAACGCCTCTGTGGAAACTGTGCGACACACTGACAAAGATGCTAATATGACGACACAAAAGGAGCTTCCTCTGCCCAAAGACAGATGAGGCTGTTCTGTACCATATAGGTACACAATAAGTTGCACAGGCAACAAAAAGCCCACCATATAGGATGGGCACAGAACGCCTACCCAAGCCCCAATCAGTCCGCAAAACACGCCTGATGATCCCAACGGCTTCACCTTCAACCGATCAAAGTGTGGAAGAAGATTCAAACGCTCTGACACCGTTATCCCGAGATATTTAACAGTACACGAATATCTTATGCCGCGTTCACCAGCTCGAACGCAGGGAGGACGGCTGCGTGTCAACCTGCTTTTCAGCAGCATCCGCACCGTCTTCTCGGTTGCCACCTCCACTCCAAGCCTGCACAATCTGCATAGCTTGCTCACCAAGATTTTCAAGTTCAAGGCGACTATCCCCTTCAATCATGATGAGCAAGTCATCCGCATATGCACAGACCTTGATCCCGTAACAGGGGATCCATCATTAGATTCCATATAAATGGACCACAAATGGAACCCTGTGGGCAACCACGCTGCACATCCCTCCAGACCGAAGCACTGGCTCCCACGACACAAGCCTTCCTTGGACGAAAATAACTCGTCCAAAGAGCAATCCCTCTACACCCGACCTCTTACAGCCTTGTGAGCACGCTATCGCATAAAAGGAAGTCAAATGCGCCTTTAAAATCCACAAATATGCCAAGGACATATTTGGAATTTGACCCGCTCAGGCTATCTTGCACATGCCGCCACGCGTCCACAGTATTTCTACCCTCGGTAAAACCGAACTGATACAAGGACGTACCTTCGCTGTAGCATTCCCTAAGCCGTGCCACCATAATCCTCTCCAGCATTTTTCCAAGAACTGGAAGAAGACTTACGCCCCGATACGAGCGAGGAATACTCCTCACCCGATTGGGCGACTTAAGTAACACCACCACTCGGGCACACTTCCAAGTACGCGGGAAGTATTCATGACAAATGCAGCTGGAGAAAATGGACTTGATATTATAAAAATACTTTTTAAAAAATCCACGCCTATGTATATGCTATAAATATATATTTTTTAATTCACCCCTATGGATATGCTAAAATCTATGCCTAAGGATATGCTACAAAACTATTTTTTAATCCAATCAGTTTTATTTTTCATACATTTTATCGATAATTTTTGAATATTTTTTCTGCACAATACTTCGGCGACTTTTGAGGGTAGGTCCTGAAAAAAACACACATAAAATTATTTAAAAAAAAATTAATGAAAAATATTTTTATTTCTACTTACCCAATTCCCCCGTGGCTATGGTAAAATCATGTGGCAACACCTGAAAGTATTGAATTTTCTGGGCATTCGAAAGGGCTCGTTCATTATATCGATTAATCCCATCCGTTAGACCATGGAACACCCTGGAATCAAGTCTAACCTCAGCTCCATTGGGTTGGAAATTTTCGAAGCTTTCTGGTAATTGAATATTCAGAATATCATCCAATTTTTTACAGTGTACCCCAAGGGTTATCAACCATTGTATGGCCTCGGGTAAAAGGATATTTGTCGGATAGCCCGTATCGGGATTAATATAAGTCTGAAATTTTTCGAAGTAAAAAGTTAAATTTTTTGTATACCCCGTTTTTATACCCTTCACCACACTGTGGTACAGGGTATTATGTCTTTGTGCATATGTTTGTAACAGGCAAAAATAATCGAGATAGACCCATGGTTCCTTTTGAGAATATGCATAGAATCACTTTCTAAGTCGATTTATGCATGTCCGTCCGTCCGTCTGTCTGTCTGTCCATGTTAAATTGTAAACAAAGTACAGGTCGCATTTATGATCCGAATTGGATGAAATTTGGCACAGGTCACTTATTCGGCCCAAGGACGAACCCTATTGAAATTGGGAAAGATCGGTTCAGATTTAGATATAGCTCCCATATATATATTTAACCGATTTAATGTAAACGGTCCCTATATATCTTTTGATTTGCACGAAATTTGGTACAGGCTAATCATTTAGGCCTATAATGATGTCTGCCAATTTTCGTGAAAATCGGTCCAGATTTAGATATAGCTCCCATATATAGTTTCGTCCGATTTCATGTAAATGGTGCCCTAAAGTCAATATATATCTTTTGATTTGCATGAAATTTGGCATAACGTACTGAATTAAGCCTAGAGTGATGTCTGCCAAGTTTCGAGAAAATCGGTCCAGATTTAGATATAGCTCCCATATATAGCTTCGTCCGATTACATGTAAATGGTGCACCAAAGTCCCTATATATCCTTCGATTTGCACGAAATTTGGCATAACGTACTTAATTGAGCCCAGAATGATGTCTGCCAAGTTTCGAGAAAATCGGTCCAGATTTAGATATAGCTCCCATATATAGTTTCGTCCGATTTCATATAAATGGTGCCCCAAAGTCCCTATATATCTTTTGATTTGCACGAAATTTGGCATAACGTACTGAATTAAGCCTAGAGTAATGTCTGCCAAGTTTCGAGAAAATCTGTCCAGATTTAGATATAGCTCCCATATATAGTTTCGTCCGATTTCATGTAAATGGTGCCCTAAAGTCCCTATATATCTTTCGATTTGCACGATATTTGGCATAACGTACTGAATTGAGTCTAGAATGATGTCTGACAAGTTTCGTGAAAATAGGTCAAGATTTACATATAGCTCCAATATATAGTTTCGTCCGATTTCATGTAAATGGTGCACCAAAGTCCCTTCGATTTGCACGAAATTTTGCATAACGTACTGAATTGAGCCTAGAGTGATGTCTGCCAAATTTCGAGAAAATCAGTCCAGATTTCTATATAGCTCCCACATATAGTTTCGTCCGATTTCATGTAAATGTTGCACCAAAGTCCCTATATATCTTTCGTTTTGCATAAAATTTGGCATAACGTACTGAATTGAGCCTAGGTGATGTCTGCGTTGTTTAGTGAAAATCGGTCAAGACTTAGATATAGCTCCCTTTTATTATAGATTGATTTTAAGTAATTGACGCACCAAGAACCAATAGGAACAAAACGTTCTGAAATTAGTATAACCTATCCTGTTACAAGTTTGTTTGAAATCGCTTAATATTTGGACAAGTAAATTGGGCATCAAACTCCTCATGTTAGTCAGTTTGACATCAAATTTTGCACAACGTACAAAATTGAGCATAGAATTATGTAGTTGCGTTTTCTAGAAGTACAGACATAGCCCAACGGATGACCCATTTATATTTGTTTGAAGTCGATTTACATACTTTATGGATAGATCTACGTAGATTCACATTTAGATAAATATCACATATTTTATTTCATCCAATTTCATGCTAATAGTCCTGTTTAATATACCCATAGTGGTGAAGGGTATCATATAGTCGGCCGCGTCCGACTTTACTACTTTCCTTACTGGTTTTTCTTCCCCTTACCTTCATTGTAAGGAGTACCGTTAGATACTTCCGATTATCCCCAATCACCATGGCATTGCTGATGCAGGGCAATTCTTTTTTGATAATATCCTCAATCGGTATAGGGGATATATTTTCCCCACCTGAGGTAATGATAACCTCCTTTATGCGCCCATTAATATAAAGATTCCCAGCGGCATCCAGGTGGCCCCTATCACCACTTCTGATGTAGCCATCCTCGGTAAAGGCCTCCTTAGTTTTTTGTGGTTCCTTTAAATAACCCATAAAATTGAAACGTCCCCTTATGAGGATCTGAAATTATGAAGGAATTTAATAGAAAAACTTCCCAAATGATTTTTCACATCCTTACCTCTCCCTCCCCTTCTCTATCAGGTTCGTGGATTTTAAATTCAGCATCTCCTATGCCCTGACCACTGGTATGTAAGTTCGGTCGTTGGAAATCATAGCACACTCCACCACAGGTCTCAGACATGCCGAAGGCCTCCACTAGTGGTAAATCAAGGCTGAGGAAATAGCGTTTTATGTCATCCGACACAGGGGCGCCACCGGCAAAGCAAATTTTTAAGGTATTTAAACCCAGAGCTACTTTTTGTTCATGGCAAACTTCTGAGGCCCAGCCGGGTGGAGATACTAATCGGTGATTGCTGTAATAATAAATTAGCATGAAGTTCCTCTCTTCCATAACTATTTCAGGTCTTACCCCGCTCCCATTTGGTCCACATAATATTTCAGCATGCTTCTGCGTGCTTCCTTGAATGCTTTCCTTTGTCCCTCATCCTCCAGGTTCGCTTCCAATTTCCTTTGCCTTTCAATGAGTTTTTCAAATATACGCGGTACCCCGAAAAACCATGTGGGCCTAACCTCCACCAGGGTTTCACACAGGGTTCCTTTCATGGCATTACGATCGGCAAAATACACCACTGCACCATTCAGCATACCAAGGAAAATATCGAAGAACTGTGAAGCTATATGACTTAGGGGTAAATAGGTGATACAGGACTCCCGACCTGGTTCTAAAAATGGCAGATTTTTATTCAAGGCCTGGACTGCATAGAGTACGGCATCGTGGGATATCATGACACCTTTGGGCATGCCCACAGTACCAGACTGTGCACAGAATGGGAGAGAGGGAAGAGAGAAAGAAGAATAAAAAAATTCAGCACTTCTTCTATGGCTGAATTTGCATTTTCGATGAAAAAAATGTTATCTGAATTGCCTTTCTCTGTATAACAAGCTAGCTGAATGAACATTTTCTATAAAATATTTTGCTGAATAAAAGTTTTCTAAAGAAAAAGTTAGCTGAATTAAGGATTTATTTATAAAAAGTTTGTGGAATCATTTTTTTTTCAAATAAAAACGTAGCTGAATTGATGTTTTCGTATGCAAAGTTTGCTGAATAGAGTTTTTCTTGAAAAACGTAACTGAGTTGAGATTTTCTGTGTAAAAAGTAGGCTGAATTGCATTTTTCTATAACAAAACTTTGCTGAATTTAATTTTCCTTACAGAAAAGTTAGCTGAATTATTTTTTTGTTTTTATAAAGTTTGCTGAATTGAACACATATAAAGTATTACGTAACTGACTTAATGTTTTCGTGTGATAAATGTAGCTGAATTGATACTTGTTTTATGAAAAATTGATGGATTGAGTTTTTCTCTATAAAAAGTTAGCTGAATAACATTTTCCAATAACAAAACATTGCTGAATTGAATTTTTCCAAAGAATAAGTTAGCTGAATTAAATTGTCCAATAACAAAACATTGCTTAATTGAATTTTTCCAAAGAATAAGTTAGCTGAATTGAGAATTTCTGTATTAAAAGTTTGCTAAATTGCATTTTTGTGAAGAAATCCGTATCTGAATTAATGTTTTCGTAAGAAAAGTTGGCAGAATTTAATTTTCTTTAGAAAATAGTAGCTGTATTGGTAATTTCTGTTTTAAAAGTTAGCTGAATTAAATTTTTCTATAGCAAATCTAGCTGAATGTAATTTTATAATTTTTCATACTGAAAAGATAGCTGAACGGATGTTTTCTGTATAAAAAGTTTGCTGAATAGATTTTTTTGCTGAATTGATATTTACTTATGAAATGTTTGAAATATTCAGCTTTAAAGAAAAACTTAGCTAATTTCGGTTCAGAAGAAAACGTTTGCTGAATTTTAGTTTTTCTTAATCAGAAGTTTGCCGAATTAATTATTTCTTTAGAAGAAGTCGGCTGAATGAAGTTTTTCATTTAAAAAAATTCGCTGAACTCAATTTGTCCAACAGAGAAGTTCGCTGAATACAGTTTTTATAAAGAAAACCTTAGCAGAATAGATATTTTAATGGACTATTAGTCTTTATTTATAGTTTTTATGTAAAAAAATAGCTGAATAAAAATTTTGTATAGCAGAATTTAGCTCCATTTAGTTTAGTATCACAGGACAAGTTAGCGGAATTAAAGCTGAATTGAATTTTTCCATAAATACTTTAGATTTGTATGGCAAAAATTAGCTGTATTACGTTTATTGTCAGACAAATTTTGCTGAATTGCGTTTTTTATGATAAATTCTTAGCAGAATTCAGTTTTTTCACAGAAAATATTTGCTGAATTGCGTTTTCTAATAGATAAATGTGCTGATTTTTTTATACAAAAAATGTCTAGCTGAATTGTATAAAATGCCACATAAATTGAGTTTTATATATAGAAAATCATAGCTGAATATAATTTTTATAGCACAATTGAATTTTTTCTACAAAATACATTAGCTTTGCATTCAGAGAAATCTTGCTGAATTGTTTTTTTTAATCCTGAATTCCGAGCTGAATTGAGCTTTTCGGCGGAAAATGTTTGCTGAGTTGCATTTTTTCAATATAAAATTGTGCTGAATTAATTTTTTGTACAGAAAATACATAGCTGAATTGACAGTTTTATTGAAATATTAAGTGAATAGCAAATTGCGTAAGAAAAAATTTGCTGAATTGAGTTTTCAATACAAAAAAAGTATCTAAATTGCTGAATTGAAAATTTATATAAAATATTTCTTTGGAAAATGTTTGCTGAATTACTTTAATTACTTACTGTGAATATAAGTAGAGCGCATAGGTTGGGCGCCACATCCAGCTCCCGCCGTAGCAACTCCTC